GACAATTAAGTAGTGGAAAAGCTTCTTAAAGTCTGCGACCCCTGGGCCACCTCACCTGGCTGGTAATCTAGTGTTGAATGACAGTGGACGTAATCTTAAAGCTGGTGTTATGAAAGCTTTGAAAGCTCATTTCGTTAGGCGAACCTAACTGGATAATGAATTTCTTTTTTTCACTCAGCAGTCACATGATTCAAACTGAGAACAACCCGGTTAGGTCACGGGTGATTAGCGTTGCTGTAACTGTTGTTCACTAATCTCGTCTGTTCTAGTGCCTCACTGAGCATCGCGATCTATAAAGGTTTGTAATCACCTCAGTCAGAGCTCTATAGATAGACTCAAGAAGTGACTGTGATCAGTGAATTTCCTGTTCCACTTAACGCCTTCTAATGTAAACTAGGAAAAAGATTATTTAGGACAAATATACATTATACACTGACCAGGCACAACATTATGACCACCTGCCTAATACTGTGTTGGCGCCGCTTTTGCTGCCACAACAGGCCCTGACCCTTGAAGGCATGGACTCCACTAAAATCCCAAAGGTGTGCTATGGTATCTGGCATCAAGATATTAGCAACAGATCCTGTAAGTCCTGTAAGTTGTGATGTGGGGCCTCCGTGGATCGGACTTTTTTGTCCAGCACATCCCACAGATGCCTGATTGGATTAAGATCTGGGGAATTTGGAGGCCAAGTCAGCACCTCAATTACTATTTTACCATTTTTTATTTGGCTTTTAAGTTTGTGCTTTTTTTCTCTTTTATATTTTTTCTTAGGGTGATGCAAAATGGCCTTGTAGCAGATTGGCCACCGTGTAGTACCAGGGGTCAAATCTCAGTCCGTAGCATTTCATTTTCTGGCTCTTCAAATACTAAAATAACTTTCATAATTTTCTGGTTTTTTATTAAAAACATAGATAACCTCCATTATTTTCATCAGGGAAGCATTCATCTCTCCTTCAGTGTATTTCCCCTCATTGATTGTTTTGATTTTCATTTACTTTTCTTCCTTGTTTTCCCTTCTTTCACCTCCTAACATCAGCCCCAACAAAATCCATCTTACTGATGCAAACTCCACTAGAATAAAAACCAAAATCAGCTTTGCACTTGCTGATCTGAACTTGCTCATTCAATCCATATTTTGTCTGTTTGTAGGGAAAAATAATCTCCAAAGGTCCAAGACTTTGTAAACATTGCACTCAGCAACACAAACTCAGACGCATAACCTTTGGAATTATTTATTAGAATTCATCTTTTTTAGCCGGAAGTTAATTAGTGCTAGTAAAATAAATTCAGACTCAGTTAGTATAACTTAAAGTTCAAAACATTGAAGTTAACACTTTGTTACCCAGCTTTCTCATTGCTTTTCCACCTGCAGCTTTCCGCCATGACTGATGAATTTATTTTAAGATGACAGTGATAAATAGTTGACATGTGAGCTTAGCAGCTTTCTCCAGAGATATTTTAGACCATTAAGCTTGTGTTAGCCTAAAATATCATACGAGCAAACAGCTAAAAGCTCTGGGGGAAGCACCTAAGTAGTCATTGGGTTTGGACATACAAATAACAATTTTCAAGATCAAATTTAATTTTTATGCTGCCTTTTTAATTATCCTAAAAGGATCCAGATGTTTACAAGTCATTAACAACTGAGCAACAGTGATATGCTGAAGAAGGCCATGTGATACACCTGTGACAGAGTATGGAAAAAAAT